TGGAGTCGTGTATAATGGGGCTACGGAGTCCAAATTTTGATATATTAAAAGCGGTCATATTTCTACTTTTATCATAAAAAAAAATCAAGTCGATAGCTCGATCAGTTTACAATCTACGGTGATGTAAATAATAGTAATATTTAATAATTGCTGATTTTTGTTTTTTCTTGTCTGACCTACATAGGTACTCAAAAATGTCTATAGTCTGATTTGGTTCTGTGCCAATTTTTATCATCTCGAGCAATAAGCGACTTTTATAATAAATTTTACTCTACTAAAAACTAAAACGTACATCCAAATCCGACTTGAATATCTCTCAAAGAAACATCCTACAGACATCGAGCCATCGAGCGCGCGACGTTACCAAATTGGACTGAGAGGTACTGCGTCGCGTATTATTTAGCAGATTTGAAATCTGAGTTAGGAGCGTACTGGATAACGCTCTTAAGAGCAATCCAGTCTCTTCTGACGTCACACCGCATGAATCTCACGACCTCCCCTTAAAGTATTTGGAACCTTGTTCGCTACATAAATTTGGCAATGTTGTGTGTCGTACGCTGAAGGGTCCGATTACAATTCAGGTATAATTCGTTGGCTATCGCCGCCTACTGGGGGTTAGTGGCTTGTTAATATACGAATGTAGGAATACTATTTTCAAACCAAACAACTCAAATATTTTTTATTTATTGATACAGGGTGTCCCGAAATTAGACGGTCATATTTTAACAGTGTAATGTACATCCTAAAATAGTAGTAAAAGTTCATATAAACATAGGTCCGAAAACTTTTGTTTGTGAAGTCCTGATACCACACTTTTGTAAATATTTTCTAAACGTTTAAAGATAATTAGGTAAAATTTGTTACAAAAACTTACCTTTTTACGCTTCATTTATTGGACTAAACCCCAGTTATTGATCATCTTCTTAGGTGGGTAAATTAGGGGGAGCTTAGGGTAAAATTGCCGTGTGTGTCTGTGTGTCTATATCCACCATAACTCATGAACCGATACACAGAAAAACACTAAATTTTAAACTTAAGTTTTATTTCGGCCTGACGTAAAATAATTAGATTTTGGACAAAGTCGGAACATCTGGTGGGGTACTTTATGGGAGGCAGTTTTTATATTTTATTGAATATATCTGTTATCTATGTTTGGAGAAGAAAATTATTCAAATAAAAGTTACTTCTAATATTATTATCTATAATTTTTGCTTTATGTCAAAATTTCCTGAAATGGTCCGTATTCGAGAAATTTGACAAAATGTGCAAAATTCTAAACTAAAAGTTGTTTGCGATATCGATCTCTATAATTTTTGTTTATACATGATTTTTCTAAAATGGACCGTAATGGAAAAATTGTAAAAAAATTGCTAAATTTAAATTTTTCAGTATTTTCGTTTTCAATGAATAACTATAGAAAAATGTTTCGAGGTAGATAGATGTATGTGGAAAATGTATATGTATATTCAGTTTATCCTCTAAACATTTATAGAGGTACTGCAATAAGTTGTACAAAATAACCAGAAAAAGCCTATAATAACTAGATAGGAAAGTCATGTGTTGGACAAATCAGATTTTTTGACTATAAAATTTGGAAAACCAATATTTTCTGTATAATAAAGCTACATTTGCTGCATCTCGCTAGGACGCGCCATTTTCAAGAGAAAAGCATGTTTCCTTATTCGAAAGTGTAAACAATAATTAGTACGTCTGTAGAACTAGAAATTTTATTTTTTTTTAACTTTGAAAAACCGGTAACTAAAGAAATTTTAGAAAATATTTCATCTGGACTTCACTTGTAACACACTGTATCTCGAAAACGAAACGTTTTCGGACCTATGTTTATATAAACTTTTACTCCTATTTTTAAACGACTTCATAAAAGGAGGAGGGAGGTTCTCAATTCGTGGCAATATTTTTTTTATTTTTTTTTATGTATGTTCAGCGATAATTCTTTAACACGGTGTCCGATTTCAATGATTCTTTTTTTGTTAGAAAGGGGGTACTTCAGGGGTGGTTCCATATAAATTTGGTCAAAATCTAATAATTGGGCCCATGAGAAAATTCTCAAACTCTTCATTTTTTATATATGTTTAGCGATAATGCTTTACCACCTTGTCCGATTTATATGATTCTTTTTTGGTAGTAAGGGGGTACCTCAGGGGTGATCCTATATAAATTTGGTTAAGATGTGGTGACGGCATCTGCACGTTTTTGAATTCGCTTTTTTTTCATTTTTAATTTCTAATACTTGTAGGATGTAGATTACGCTGTTAAAATATGACCGTCTAATTTCGGGACACCCTGTATATTGGAAATTCGAAATAATAGTTATGACGTAGCGGTGTTTTTCTAATTGTAATCGGACCCTAGGTATATGGATACGGAAAGTGATGAATTGGAGATAGGTAAATTGTATTTATTGTATTAAAGGAACAACAAATATAAGTACAATTAAATAAGTATATTAATATAACAATTTTTTAAAGTCTGTATTAAAAATTTTTTTTTTCACATAGATTATTAAATTAAAAAAATAACTATTAAAACACGAAATGTTAATTTTTTCTCTTTTACAACACAAAATATACAATACTGTTGAATCAAAATTTTCTCTTGGCAGCAGGTGGTTTTTGTGACGCGACAATTATGATGCTTTGCATCTCATGAATTAAAGTTAATTCTCTTTCAATCTTAAGGTGTTCATACCCCTTATAATTATCGGACAAGAATATCTCAAAATATTTAAATTTTGGCAAAATAAATTAGGCAATAATATCTATAATATGCATATATGTATTTTAATGTTTTAATTCCTTCCAGTTTCCCAAAAAAACTAAAAGGGCTTTAATTTTGAAATATCATAATGAAAATAAATGCATTCCTCGACAGCACTATTCTTAATATAATCCCCAAATTTAAGCCTCTAATGTCTTGTTAATGATATCTTAAAATTCGCCAAAATTAGTAGCTAAGACGCTTCGTAAAGTGCTATCTTCTGGTGTAAACTGGTGTAAATTATTGCAAGAAACGAATAATGACAGAGTGTACGATACGACAGTTACAAGCCCGTTACACTGTTTTCCACTCAATTTATTAAAAAAAATAATAATAAATTAGGGTTTTAATTTTTTTTTCTTTGAAGCTATTGGTTTTGAGAAAAAAATTCAAGAATAAAAAAAATTTAATAAATCAAGGATTTCATAAAAGTTCATATCGAAAAAAAGTTTTTATATTAAATAAAGTAAGTGTTGCTAATTTCACCCCCCTATAATGTAACAGAAATATTGAAAAAATATCCGTGGTTAGTCCTTTGCGATTACAGAATTTTAAGTTTCTAGCTTTACTGAAATTTTAGAAAAAAAATAAAAACTCAATTTTAGTCACCACTTTTTAAGGGTGATATCTCGAAAAGGGGTGGGCTGAGGAAATTTTGTCAGCTGTGCATTTTTGTCTTCCATAATTTTTCATTTCATAAATTAACTAAAAACTAAAACAAAAACCTAACAACGCCTCAACAACAAACTAAGACGATCACAATAATTTCGCACCTCTTCAAAAACAACTACCTATTTTTCGACCCAGGAATTAACAGATTTAACTAAACAGCAGCTACCCTTTTAACCACGGGCTTCAAAGACTAGCAGCGTTGCCATATTCACTGGTATCATTGTTTTAATAGAATTAGTATCGGAATGAAAACTATGTTAATCTTCGGTCCTGTTTAAAATTGGTAATCATTTGAAAAAAAGTTATTTAGAAAATAGTTACGATATTTGTTATAGAATGCCGGTAAAGAGCTAAAAAATTAAAAATATAAGTTTTTCGCGGTTTAGCGAAATTCTTGGTTCATTTTTACAACAATTGGCCTGAACCATTTTTTTTACAATTTTTCTTAACTGCTTCAAATGTAAAATTGATTTTTGGCGGAGGAGCGCCCATCATGTTTGCTCTTAACATATTAACAAAACTAAGAGTAGATCAGGAGTTATTGTACAAAAAAACAAACATAAAAATTAGTGGTGTGTCTAGGACTGCTTGAGCCGCCCCTGCAAAATCTACCTCTTTATAATATTGGATTGGCGCCATAAAAATGGTGTGCCACCCGTCCTCATAGGTTCACCATGCCACTGATAAAAATACACGTTAGTTTGGAAATGTACTTATTAAACTTAATAGTAATTAAAAAAAATATTATTTTAATTAAACAATTAACAAAAAATTAACAATTACAATTAAACAATTATTATATATTTTTTTTAACTATTAAATTTAGTAAATGTTCAACATGTCCTCCTCCTTCTTGAATACAAAAATATATTTAAAAGCGGTAATTTTTGCAGGGGCGACTCAAGCACAGCTCTAGGCACACCACTGATTTTTATATGCGTTTTTTGAACAATAATTCCTGACTTGCTCTTAGTTTTGTTAATAAGTCCAGGACGGATTAATTGTTCTAGAAATTTAGTTAAAAAATTGTAAATTGTAAATAAAGATACAAAGTTCATTTCGCTATAAAAAAAATTTAAAAATGCATAGTTCTTTTTGATTTTAAGATCGATAAAGCAAGTTACTTTATGTCAAAAAAAAAAAAAAAAATACGAGGAGGTACCCAACCCCCAACTATGGCAAAAAATTCAAAGAAAAATCGTGAGAGCAAAATTTAAAAAAAAAAAAACGTTTTTTTGAATGTTAGTTTAACGCCCTGTAACTTTATTAGGAGCCAGGTTTTGATATAGGTAAATATAGCCAAATCCACTTATTTTTTGATAATCTATCTGAGGAAGAATTTATGACATACCTTTTTGAAACACCTTGTATAAACATACTAATAATAATGCTTATTTACAAAATATAAAAATATAGTATAAAATAAAGACTAATTGAAGTTAAAAAAAATGTTCAAATTTAATATGTTATTAAAAATATTCAAATTAGATTACATTTAACATAATTTCATTGACAACTTTAACGATTTATTAATAAAAATTAATACTTACTAAAAAAAAAATCCAACCCGCTTACAAAATAAAATCACCACCAATCAACGAAAAAAATAATAAAAATCACCACACTACCCTAATCGGTAGTCACTTCCTCCCCGAAAAATCAACTTCACCGCATCTAGATCACTCGCTACCCGCAGGAACTAAAAACAACCGCCAGAGTCGCGGCTCACTTAGTACTTTTTCTTACAATCACCGCGTTTTTCAGAGTCTCCCACTTCGCGAAGTAGGCCTAGAAGAGGCCTTGCTATTGACAATAAGCTGAAGAAGGTCATCTTGGGTTTTGGGACTTACCTATCGATTAATAGCAGCCTAACGATGTTCATTTCATTTCGTTGGGGAAATTAATTTCCATAATAGATTGTGTGAACTAAATATTACACAATACGGATATCTCTATAGAGGATGATCCCAAATAGGAATTTCATTAAAAAGGTTTCCTGGGTATGCTAAATTGTTTGTGCAAATAGATTGGATTTCAAAGCCGTACAATGATGAATATAGAAATGAAAAGTGTAAATTGAACCAATGATTCTGAACAGAGCAGTGGCGGCTCATGACCAAACCTATAAGTAAGTAGATAAGGTAAAAGTTATTATTGATTAATTATTCTGTTAAATTCAATCTGGTTTACTCAATGTGAAGAATGAAAATAAAATATTTTTCCTACGATCACATACGAAAATGATAGTTTGCACATTTATTTGTTCTTAAGGAAGTAGCTTATATCACACGCGTACTGAAATATATATCACACACGTATTGAAAAATAGCAAAAGACACATGTATTGAAAAGTAAAAAAGTATATGACCTGTAACATGTACGTCAAAGTTATCATTATAATTGTCATTACAAATTTTTATATAATATCAAATGAACAATAAAGTTTTTTATATAGGTTTTTAAAATTATAAAATAATAATAAAACATGTTTACTCACTATTATTTATCGAATATTAAAACAAAAAGGTACTTCTGGAAAGAAAAAATTTTCTTCTTCTTTTCTATAGTGTTATTTTCGATTTCAAATACGACAATGTGAATTTTTGAGGTTATGTTAATGTTAGTGTTTACAATACACCTTTCTGTAGGTGTCTATTAGTTTGAAAATATTTAAAGTTTATTGTGATTTGTGTTCAAATACATACTAGTGTCTACAAGATAATTCAAACTTTAAAATTAAGTGTTACAAAGATTACTGGTTAATGCATTTAAAAGAAAGTGAAGGAAAACTTATTCTTAATGGCTATTGTGATTATACTAAACCCAACAGGTAAGGTTAAAGTTTAAAAATTTGAAAAAATACATTAAGTAGGCTGTGGTATTAATTGTCAAACACACAAGCAGTCATTTTGTAAAATTTTATTTTATTTTAAAATTGTACTCACAAAAAAAGGATTCTAGTGATTCCGAATGTACGCCTCCAGAAATAGCAGAAGATGCTCGTATTGTTTCGAATTTCTCATACAAAAAAAAAAAAAACAAGTTGCCAGGCCCTCCTTATACCGCTGCCGGGCCCCCATTTGAGTTCGGGCCCCGGGAATTAGTCCCGGCTACCCCCCCCCCCCCCCCCCTCTAGTCGGACCTGACTCAATGTTAAGAACTACTCTGTCTATTGAACACAATGTTGATATTTCTAAGTACCTAAAATTAAAGGCATTCTTAAAGAGAAAAAGTACGATGGCTATAAACCAAAAAAGGCAAAGTCCTGTCACAACAAGAAATAAATAATTTCATAGAAACAGCTCCAGATGAATTATATTTATTTACAAAGGTGCGCAAGTTTAATATCTATTATTTTGTTCAATGTGTGAGTATTTTTTATTATTTAAGGTTTTACTTATCCTTGGAATGTCAGGAGCATGCCGAAAGCAGGAACTCACACAGTTGACTATAAACGATATAGAGGATTTGGGTACAGCAGCTGTGATAAAAATAGATAACAAAAAAAAAGTATCCAGAAAATTCACGAATATAAATTTATGAAGAAATAACCAAAAACTTTTCAATTAATACTGACATCCCAAAAATAGCAGGTATACGAGTAGATATTTTACTGCTTGACGTTTCTAAAGGTCTCTTCAATATTAATTTCGCCTGTATCTATAGACCTGGTGATTCCTGCGAAGATTCAACTAAGCTATTAATTGATAAACTTAACAACCTCTCAACTCTCCAAAATACAATTGCAGTTAGAGATTTTATTTTTCTTGATATTTGCTGGCTTATAATTCGTATTCCAGACTGAGACACTTCTACAAGTAATTTTATGCAATTTTTTGCTGTCTCCACTTTCTTTCAATTAATAGATAAACCAACCAGGTTTCGAGTTAATAACGAACCCTCTATTTTAGCTCTTATCAACACAAATGATGAACAACCTATAACAGAACCTCAACATCTTCCCCCAATAGGCATTTTCGACCATTTAGTAATAACAGCCGAGATCCAAGTTCAAGTGTAAACAGTAAGATTTATACAGGATGGTCAACTACAACGATGCCAAAATGAACTTAGAAGCTATTCGGGATTCAAACTAAGTGATACGCCCTCTGGAGGAAACTTGTAGAAGGTCCCTATAAGTAGGATATCGTTCAGTGCTGCCAGAAGTAACAAAATTTCGCTACGTTGTCGGATTTTAGCTCTCAAAGAAGTGGATAAGACCTTTTATTTTACAAACAATATTTATGTCTAGTAATATGTAATCATACTCTATATTTATTTAATAGTTTTTTTAAAACCGATTTATTATATTGATTTTTTTAAAATTTCAGTTCATATATTAATTTTGTTTTAAAATCAATTCATCACTCAGCAACATTGGCGTTCGTGTTCAATGTTTACATTTAATTTGTATCAATTACAATTCGAGTTTTTTCTTACTTTTTAGCTTTAAAGAACCCCGCACAAATCTTATGGAAATTGGCTCCCGGTCAAATTGGCTTAAATTTGGATATGTTGTTCATTTCGGCATCCTGAGCAAAATTCTCAATGGGCACAAAGCTCAATTTTGCTTATTTTGGCTCCTACGGAACTCCAAAGTTCCACGGAGAGACCATTATTTATTACTTAAAAATGCAATCATCTCGAAAGTTTAGTATTTGCTGCGTTAAAAAGTACCTTCTTATGTTTTCGGGGTTACTGCATTCAAATCCAATGCCAATATAATAATATTGACAGTTGACAGCTGTCAACTAGCTGTCATACAACAAGCAATAATCAAAATTGAAAACTCCACATTCAAATATCTGTTTTTGAGGCAGCTGAGTTCAAAACTGATGTTAACAATTCAATATTGACAGTTGACAGCTGTCAACTAACTCTAAAACAGCATGTGACAATCAAAATTAATAAAATCCACATGTAAATATATGTTTTTGCTCAGAATGCCGAAACGAACAACATATCCAAATTTCAGCAAATTTGACTGGAAGCCAATTTCCATAAGATTTGTGTGGGGTTCTTTATTTATTTCTTATTGTATGTGATAGTGTTTATATTAAAAATGAAATCTGCGAAAAAGTCCCCAGAAAATTGCAATTTATATGGTGTTAATGTCAAAATCAAAACTGAGGTTTTCATTATTTTCCAAGTGCAAGTCGTAAAATTTTGTTTCTTATGGATATCTACGAATTCACAATATTGAAATTTTGCAAAACTTTGTTTAGAATTAAACTGTAATCTGATTTGTGAGGGGTTTATTACCATTTACATGCATATAAAGTACTACTCAATTCACTTCATAATATAAGAATAAGGATAGTAAGATTTTTAAAAAAAATTCATCAAAAATAAACGTTTGGTACCTGAAATATCCTTTAAACTACATAATAAAACATGTCCTGGGTTTAATAAATATATATTTCTAGATATTCTTGTAGCAACCAATAGGTGAATATTTCCAACAAATTAAGTCATACACATGATAAATATTGTATTTATGATGAAAGCACGAGAACTAAACTTAAATTAATACTAAATGAAACTCAAAAACACTATTACAATCAGAATATTATCTAAAAACAGTTAAAAAATCACAAATGCCCAAAACAAACACATGTAAATAAACAAACATCCTACTTATAGGTGACAAATTGACAGGCACGCGAAAATTAATTTGAATCGCGAATTAACTTCAATGATATTTTAAAAAAGTTTAACAATGTAAATGATATGTGGAACACTTTTCTATACACCATTAATAAAATAATTAAAAAACATTCTTTACTAAGAAGTACCGCAGAAATCCGTTAAAACCCTGGATGTATCCTTAATTTATTATAAATGACGACTTTGGAGAAAGTACATTTCTAAAAAAATACAGAACTTCCGTTCTCAAAGAAATTTCTCTAATTTATTAAAACTATCCATTCGCTCAGCGAGAAAACATTGTTAACTCAGAAAATCACAAAAAATTCTACAAATATGTGCGTTCAAATTTATGTTCCAAAGTAAGTGTACCTTTATTGTGTTACCCAGACAATACTTGATGTTCTACAGATTTTGATACTGCGAAAATCCTGGCAAACACTTTTACTTCTGTATTTACAAATGAACCTGCCACTACCGCACTACCACAATATAATAACCACGAGGATACATAATAGTCTGATTGAAGTGCAATTTAATCCCGAAAAGGTTAGAAAAATTACTTAAGGAGGTCCTTTCGCCACCAATGTTAAATAAAAAATATTAGATTATGACTAAAATTAATTTTTTTCTAATAGTAGATGTCCTTATTTATCTAATAGTGAACGTTTAACTATACCTTACCGTGCAAATTTTTGAGAAAACTTTTTTTCAAAAATGTGTGTGTTTGTACAGTGTCTTATGAAAAAGTAAGACTTCAACAACAATTTTCGAATTATAATTAATTTTACTATTATTTATTGATTAGATGGAGTAGATGTTACTTTTAATAAACAAACGTTTTATAAAAAAAGTTATGTTTTCAAAGTTACGTTATAAAAACATATTTTGCACCAGATGATAACCCTTACTTGGGTCTCATTGTAAAAATCCTTATAATAAGAATTCTTACAAGCCTCAGGCCTAGCTCAGATCAAAATAGGTCAGTGGGATTCGTTTAGAATTTACCTTCAAGTCAATGACAAGGTCTTTAATTAAAAAGACTTAAAAAAATTCAATTAAATTAATTTGGGCGCC